GTTTTTGCTAATGATAAGCCTTTATTTCTTAGGCTTGGCAGTTCTGTTCATCACCTTGAGCACGTTATTAAAAAAGAAACACACATTTTTACCAACTATTTTTAATAATTCAAACCTTTCAGATTTTACCAAAATTTTACCAAAAGAAACTCATTACCAAATTTTCTTGAAAATTCACGAAATATTACCAAAAGTAAAACTTTTTACCAAATCTGGTCACACTGAGTACGTCACCTATGCCCGAACCCATTACGGTTAATTCCGATTTGATTTGTGTTGCCGCTGGAATAACTGATCGCGGCCGAATATTTTGTGTTGACTTTTCTGACTAAGTTCGCAGTTCGACACAACCTTTCTTTCGTTCAATCGGGGATATAAATATTGCATTTGTGGACAACAAATCGGGTATTTATTTAAATTTTATTTTGCTTACAACTGCTAAACAATACGGAAACTAGTTTTTATTTATTACAAGCTGATTGTAATGTTAAAAGTCAGCATTGCATAGTGTATTCTTGCCTATAGTAGACCGCACACAGTCATATTTCGGATAATATTTTGGACCATAATTTCGATTCTATTTGGGTTTTTTACTTGTCCGCGATGAGGTAGGGGGGGGGGGGGGGGGGTTCAAACAATCGCGGCCCAAGTCCGCGATGCGGGACGAAATCTATTTGTCGACGGCCCTTAACATATACAGTATATGCAAAAACATTTCTTTGAATCACTGTATAAAATATTCCTCATAAACTCGCTCCAATCGTCACACAGCAGAGTCTTTGGAAGGGTAAAACCAAGTTTAACATCCCCAGTTCAAAACACTTTCCGTGTCCTCTTAGGCAAGTCTGTCCAGCTGGAGAACATCTGTTAATTTTGTTTAGCGAACGAACGATATTTACCAAACCCAGTTGAAAGAACAGCAACTACATAGTTCCCATGTAATAAAAGCTGAAGAATCTGATTTCGAGTACGTCGGTAGCAAAAAGAAGGAAAAATTTCAAAGACTAAACGCATTTTTAAGCCGCTCTAAGCACTTAAATTTTGTGGACACTCTTAGGTTGGCGGCCATCTTGGATTTTCTAATTCATTATTATTATAATTTATTACACCCACTATATCTGGGTGTTGAAAGTCATGTGACCGGCCGGTGCCAGGGCCTTTTGCCGCCTTCCCAATGACAAAAAGGGAAAAGCCCTGGGAACGAGGTTGCGGAACAACGGAACACCGGAACAGCCTCATTCTGGAACACGGAACACCGGAACACTAAAAATTCTTAATTTGTTAGAAATTCGGAAAAAGAATACCGGGTGTGTGTGAAAGTACTGCTGCAATAATTATTGCATAAAACGTGCCTTTCTGACCGATAGCTACTAATAACGAACAGAAATCCTCGCAGAAATTAGTCTCAAAGTAATAAATATTTGCCCGAAAAATAGAAATCAAACCTAGAATTGTTATTTGTTGAGAATATTGAATGGCCCATCTTTGTTTGTTGTTGAAAACATGACAATCAAAATATTAAAGTAACAACAGTTGATTGGCTTCCTTGTTTTTACCGACTTAGCTACTCTTGAAGTGCAAAAAGATAATTTTCAATTCTCGTTCGAAGTTGGTATTTAGCATCACTTTAATAACAGTTCTTTAATATTGATCCTTTCTCACACGAAATGTTTTATAAGCGGCGATGGATAAAAAACCTTTAGCGTGTGATAACATAAACCTTCGCTCAATTAAAACGACACTCACACAAATATAATTATAGGCCATGTGGCATGTAAGTTGTATATATAAATGATGTTTCAATGCATGCATGCATGTGTGTCTATTCGTCCATGTTTAAACTGTAAATTAAACTGACACTCATGCAGTGAGGGAATTTTAGTACGAGTAAAAATCCTACGACTCTATCCGCGTTTTCGCTCGAGTTTTCGCTTGCCCTGAGATTCAATATTGTTGGCCGTCTAATATGGCATAGCATAGCCTACATATAACTTATAAGAAGGTCGCACACGACGACGCGGTACTAGGCTATATGTCCTATATGTCCTGTATTTATCACTATGGAGGTACTGACACAGTATAGGCTATAGCACGAAAGATTGCATACACTAAATTAATATTATTCCCTTTTAGGATGCGCCAGTTTTATATTTATAGACAACAAGTTGATTTTACAACTTGCACTTGAAAAATAGATGTGTCGGTGTAATTTTCAACTTTATACAAACTCGTCAACCTCACAACATGTCGGGCTTGCCAGATTCTCACTACCCTGAAAAACTGAATTCCTTCCAATTCTCAGTCAAAAACCAAATTGGCTAAAATAAACAAGAGAGGAATATCTTCTGCTGACATGTTTGTAAAATCAACTTGTTGTTTATAAATATAAAACTGGCGCATCCTAAAAGGGAATAATTTAGTGTATGCAATCTTTCGTGCTATAGCCTATACTGTGTCAGTACCTCCATAATGATATATACAGGACATATAGCCTAGTACCGCGTCGTCGTGTGCGACCTTCTTATATGTAGGCTAGTATGCTCGGTATGCTATGCCATATTAGACGGCCAACAATATTGAATCTCAGGGCAAGCGAAAACTCGAGCAAAAACGCGGATAGAGTCGTAGGATTTTTACTCGTACTAAAATTCCCTCACTTTAATTTACAGTTTAAACATGGACGAATAGACACACATGCATGCATTGAAACATCATTTATATATACAACTTACATGGCCTATAATTATATTTGTTTGTATTTTTGTCGTTTTAATTTAGGCCGTATTCCCTGACCCCAAAAGTCGCTTAGAAAACGATTTTTGTTGCCCCCCTTCGGGCACTACTTTAAATTTACATGAATCTATAGATTTTTATACGCTGAGTTCGAATTCACTTGTTGTCACTCGCACAAACCTGCAGTTTTTTGTATTTTACGACAAAGCGAGCTAGCTCGGGTATCCAGCTGGCTTGAGTACCCCCTAAGGAAATGAAGAAATGTTATTTACATCAATAGATTGATGTGAATAGAGTATTATTTAATGCCCAGCTGTTATCCAAGATCTAAGGCATGGAAGAAAGAGTCTTGGCTAGGCAGCTAGGCTAGCCCAACTGGAAAGAAGGTTTATGTAACTAATGCATATTGGTAGGTATAGTGATGGCAGATTACTTTAAATTTCTAGTGCCTGCCTGGCCAAATATAAATTAATAAATTATCCCTTCTCCAAGTGCTTGGTAATGAGTGATAGCTCAAATAGGATTAGAGCTTATTAAGGTGATGATGTATCATGACAATATGTTGTTAAACCTCAAATGGCTCGACCAATTCATGTCTCTAGGTGGCATGACTTTGAGATTTGCTTGTGTGAATATAATTTTTTGCTTAGTACCTTTGTTCCAGCAAGCCCATGCATATATATGCTTGCCTCAACAGTGTCATATAAATTGAAACACCAAGCAAGCTTCTTGTATTGTAGCTGTAATCAATTGGGGCTATGTCCTGTATGGCCACCATTTGCTAATGTAAATACTTTAATAACAATAAAGTGATTAAAAAAATATGGCTAATCTAGGCTGGGTTAACTCCATATAAACAGACCAAAAGTAGGCTGTCAGTCTGTCTTAGAGTGAAAGACATCTTCCAAAAGTTATTTTTATAAAGCTCAATGTCATGATAGCAAAAATGTTATTATAATACAAAAAAATGGAACATACCATAGTTCATAGAATAGATGGTTTGGAAACTCATTAGAATAACAATATAACTCATTATCTATGTTAGTCAAAGTTTACAGAGGTGTAACTTAACACTTGCCCGGGGCAAGTGAATATCATGACGGGCAAGTAAACGTTTTATCTTGCCAGATTGGGCAAGTTGCCTCTTGCCACAAAAAGCTCGGCTTTCATTATCGGATAATTTTTTTATGGCGCATGTACTTGATTCAAATTTTGTTTTGTGGGCCAAAGCTAGATCTGAGGCAGTATAACATAGCCATATAGAGCAGTGGGAGAATGAGTCGACATGTTGCCCCCTTGATTTATACCCCCTGGCAAATGAATTTTATTCAGGGCAACTATTGTAATTTTCATGTCCAATTAACTTGCCTTGAGAGTAAGTGGTCAAAAAAGTAAAGTTACACCACTGGTTTATTCATAAATCTGTACGTCTCTGTATTTTTGCCCAACTAACCAATAGCAATGTCTTAGGAAAGTTACTTATCCGTGACTCGTACAATAGGGTAAATTGAAAATTGCAAAAATACAAGGTGGATTTGGCAAGAATACAATACACACATGAGGATGAAGGACTAGATTTATGAATAAATGTTGACTAACATAAATAATGAGTTTCAGCCAAACCATCTATTCTATTAACTGTGATGGAACTCGTTATGTGCAGATTTATTAAATGGATGAGCTAATTTGATTGAGGTCAACTGCTACTAATGGGCAATTGTCTAGGTGACTAGGTCTAACATTTTATAGTGGGATTCCCACTATATACATGCACTATTAGTTTAAACTTGCAAATTGGCAAGATTTTCAAATATGAGGAATAGTGTAAATAAGTCACAATTTGTTCGTAACCAATGTAAGTCGCGACTAAAATAAGAACAGGGCCGGGTTTGTGCTGGTCCAAAATAAGTCAGCCTAACAGAAATTGATCATTTTTAGGAGTGTTTTGCTGATTTAAATAAGACGCGAGTTATTTTCTCTTGTATAAATGGCCCTATTGCGTATTTATAAATTGTCGTCAAAACGATCACGTTTGCTGCAAAACACTGTACTTAGAATTAATCACAACTCAAGGTGTAGGTTTGTTGCATAACATATGTAATTCTAGCACTAGTTGCTATACTATAGTAAATATTGGGATAGAAACAACCAAACAATTACAATGCTTATATTATTGTTGATTATATTTCTGTTTCGTACTGTATATATTATAATGTTTGATATTCTATGAAATTATTGTTCTTCTCTAGGAAGCAAGTGCATGTCTCTCAATTCGCACTGAATTCCACTTCTGTATCTGCTCCGTTTCTCATATTGATGAATTTGAAAGCATTTTCTCTTGGAGAGCCCGTTGGTACCAGGTAGTGTTCTTTATTCCCGGTCTTATCTTTACCACCAACGTATAAATGTACTAACCTAGACCATTTAGCATTTTCTCGGAAATTTACATGTATAGCTTGACTGGTGCTCGTTGAACAAAAAAGTAAGGTTTCTTCAACGTCTTTTTTGGTTCGGGGTGACGTGTTTCCACCTTTACACCACGACGGTGACCCTTGTCTTTCTTTTAAGTTCAACTGCGGATTACTCGCACTTATGTGCAGCCTTGCAGGGTGCGCTTTTTCTTCGGTCATTATTACAGTCTGGTTAAGGACGGATAGCAGAGGACCTTCGTCACCCAACGCTACTGGATTAGCAGGATTTATTGGAAAAACAACATAACCATAAACAGTGCCTCTCTTGTTAGTAGTTGAGGGGAATTTTACAACATGCGCTGTGTTGGTTTTCAATATAACACTGTAACTGTTTCCAGAAACAAGAAGTGGTTTTGAGGATTCTCCAACTGGTTCTGCGTCTACTTGTACGGCATATTCATATTCGTCTTTCCCAGCAGTCGTCGACGGGCTCCTACCGTGATTGAACCACGCAGTACAATACATGCCATTAGTGGGCGTCGCGGTTTTTACATTGCCTTTTACCGAATCTTGTCGCTTGTTTCGAGAGAAAACCAAACCTTGGGTGTCTGGATTTGGAATATAGTATCTAGATAATAACAAAATGAAAGTAAATGTAAGGAAGCAGGAACGCGAAGAGCAAAGCAAGCACACAAGGAAGCATGTCATTTCTAAATTCCTTGCATGGCAGTATTACCAGTATATATAGAATTGTTGATATTAAAATGAATTGACCACGATCATTTACTCGTGGGCAAACTAATTCGAACTCAATGTAAATTGCAGTGTTCATCGTGCACTTAATTAGGTCTAATTCAAAGGACACAGAATCTATTCAGGTAACTTACCTGCCCTTACTGTCGTAAGCGGTTGGGGTAAGATGTTTCTCATAAAACATCTCAGCTTTGCTTTTGTTTCACGATGACGTAGTGTTCGCAAATTCGCAAGTGATGTCAGTTAACACAAATTGTACCAGTAGCATGAAACGATTACTTGTTTATCGTTGGTATATGACAGAATTGCAAGTTTTCATAGTGATAACAAACAATCAAAAGAAAAATCATTATTGAATCGAACGTCGTTCTATTGCTAGTAATACTTAAAAATGGAATTTCCTCACCATGCTGAACCGCTATTTTGAATATAATTTTGCTCAAGCTCGTCTCCTTGCCCTACTTAGGATTTGTTATTGTACATTAATGAAATAATTGCACTCCTCTTTACCGGTTAGATTTCAATAATTTTGTTGTACGCAGCAAAAAATAAATAAATTTTGACAATTTCCAAATACCTGTTGCCATTCACGTCCACCAAGGTAACCAATACCTTATTTTCCCAATGCGTTTTCTCCGAAGTGCCCCAACCGTTACAACGAAAGACATCTGGCGCTGCGGGTTTACGAGAAGCATCTTGGGCCATCTTGTCTTGGAACAACGCAGTATGAATCTCTTTATTCCCACCAGAATATTCTATGCTAGATCCAAGCGAAACAATTAAATCGTCGTAGAAGAATACGGATTTCTTGAAACGGAAAGTAACTTGGGAACTGAAAGGTGAAAAAAGTGATGCTACCTTGTATCTGGGCTGTTCAAAATTCATACCAAACACACCATTTCTTTCGTCCCAATCCTGGCTTCCCTTCAATGCGACACCGCCAGCCATGGCATCAGTTGACGGGTTGTAGTGGTGGCTGCTATCTATGCGCATGTCCGGAAAACTAACGTTAATTACTGTTGTACCGGGAATTTTCCGCCAGTCCCATCCATTGTCCACATCCTTTGAACTAAGGGCTGATTCGCTATTGGCTATCAACATGGCACCGTGGCTGCTGTACATTCCATAAAGATTTCCAACAGGATTCATCGAGCTTTCAAAATCCACCACAAACTTGTCGAACCCTTTTACTGACACTGCCCAGTCACCTCGGCGATGGATACTCAACGACGCAAATTGTTTCGTCCAATGTCCACTTGGGGATTCTTCAGTTTGGTACTCCCATGGTCTCTCGCCAGAGGTAACATTGGAGGTAGTGGAGGCAAGTTCATTCACTCTCTCCAAGATTTCCAAAGCTCCTAAAGTGTTCAAGTAGTATTTTCGACCTATTTCACCTTTACAGAGAAATTCGTTTAATTTGCCCAACGTACAAATGTTACTGCCGGTCGCCGGTTGATAGAGGCGAAGAAACATACGAACTTCTTCCAAATCGATATTTAAATTGGGAATGTCTGTACCTATTTTAAAACTTTGAAAGGGAGATTTCATGGCCAAGTATGCATACGCTGGGACGTGTTCGGCAATAATTGCTTGGTCATATTTTGGATTCCGTCCACCAATCTGGCTAGGAGTTGAATAATGGACAGCGGCTATTCGAAAAACCTTTAACGCGTTCACCAAATTTTCTTTTATCTCGCTGTCCAACTCATAGGTCGTTCCGTCCAACAAATACGAGATCAATGCGGCGTTGTGCAATGCTGAAGGACAGTAGGCGGTGCCATAGAATAACCTGTGATGATAGCTTGTAGAGTCTGGTTTTATGAAGTCAGAAAGTCCCTCGCTAACCTTTAAAGCGTTCTCGATCCACCGTTTCAATGCGTCCATATCTCGAATTTTTTCTGTTTTTTGAGGAACGTTATCTTCGGGCATTATGAGTACGGTCATCAGTCGAAACAACAACACAGTTCGTATTTTATCTGCGGTAGTTCCTTGGAACTCGAATGGGCTTTGGTAGACCTCTCCAAACTCCACATACCATTTCATCACATCGATCATATTGTCTAATTTTCCAGCAGCTTTGAGTTCATTTCTCAACAAGAACACGGAATGTGCAAAACCAGACATTCCTAGTAATTCATGGTCCATAGAACCCAAAGAACTCCCAGTGTCCCAACCTTGGTCTTTTATGTAATCGAAGAGGGCAAATATTTTTGTTTTACGGCTTTCGTTGAGGTCGTCAATTGCTTCAACGACGTGATCAAAACAGGCTTGGGATACACCTGTACAAGTAGGATGTTGTGCTGGATCGGATGCAAAAGAGCTTCGATAACGAGTTTTAAAACTGTTTCTCATAACGCTATCTTTACCAGTAATTGCAAAGATATCACCTTTGGCGATTTGTCCTCCAGGGTCGCAAGTATATTTTTGAGCAAATAGACACGCAGTATGGTTCACTTCGTCAACACGCGACTTGATGTGGTATTCCAACGTTAACGGATGTAAAACTTTGTTGAAAAGTTCTGAGAACTTTTTTGCCGGATTTGAGCCACCACCGTATTCTGAATTTCTAGCAAATAATCCAGAAGTAGGTGGATACTCAAACTCGTCTATTAAAGTTTTCTGAGCGCGATCGAAATTTTTAAGTAATTTGTCCCATCGTTGGATAGGAAATGGGTCGGATGGTGATACCGCGTAAGGAATTCTGGTAAATGTCTTGCTTTCATTCGAATACCAATTCTCCAGACGCCGTTCGATTTGGTTTATGTCATTAAGTTTTCTGCTGTCCACTTCAGTCACTGGTTCGGGTGATGGAGTTCTGAGGCTCCAACGGTATTTGTGTTGCCAGTACGCCTTTCGCGGCGACTCAGATAATGCAATTTCTTCTGTTATTTTTGACAGATCTATGCAGCTAAAGCAGTAGGTTTCCCCTGATTGCTCATATGTAAAAGTTGGAACAATCGAATCACGTGAATCTTTGGAAATCTTTTGAACAAAGCGTAACAAGTCAATGTACAACGGATTTGCTGAGGTGGCACTGGAAGGAGCTTTAAGGATTAACTGGTCAATCTTGTTGCCACTTTGGAAAGCATCTGATCTGCGGGGAGACGAAGCTGATGATAGCAAGGGACAACCGATAAATCTCATGTACTTTACCCATGCTGCTCTCCATCCCACAAAATTTAAAGACATAGGAAAACAAGATACCCTTCTTGATTCTTCTCGTATACAAACTGATAAACATTTATCAATAATTTTTTGTGAATTGTAAATCCAAATTTTTATTCCTCCATTCCTTTTTACTTGAACATTTTTCGACGACAGGTCCCACGTAAGTTGTCCATTGCCAGTCCATTGCCATTGCAGTGCTTTAGCTCCGTTTTTGAATTTGGTATTGCTGAGTGCGAAAGATGATCGCGGAAATATTTCACTCGGAACTCCAGCATTTTCAAAATCGTAAACTAAACGAACGAAAAAATAAAATAAATATTTTGTTTTCGTATAAAACGCTTAAGTAAACGCGACAATCAACCTCGTTCCCAGGGCTTCAGTGTGAGGAACGAGGCGAGACACGAGGAAGCCCTGGTCTGGGCCAGTCACGTGTCTACCCACAAAATGGCAGTATTTGACAGCTACTCGTCAAGGAGTGGCGAGATATTCTTTAATGAAATATACAAGTCTTCGAAGCAAATAAATAGCCAAAAGACTTCTCAATCGATACTATTTATGTGTAGAGCGAAGTTTGGCACGAATCAGCTGAAATCTATGAAGATCCATTCTATGTTTTCTAAGATATGCCGATATTTCTGGAGATTTTCAACTACAGGCAAAGCCGCTGCATCCAAGCTCCATCTATGCGTCTCCTTGCAAGTGGTGATTCACACGAAATTTCCTTTCTCTCGTCTTGAACAATATGGCTATTGCTTTAATTAATATTTTGTTTAAATAATATGCTCTTATAGATCTGACTTAGTTCAATATAAATAAACACTAATATAAAACCTCGTGTAACCTGTTTACGCTGTACAGGAATATACGGATTCACTTGTTTCGCCGGACGCCAACACTTGCCGTTCAGGAGCAATGTTTGCCTACAAATTTTATCCCCTTCACAATCTTTGTTTTATTTTATCGTATAGTCGCAATTTTCAAGTATTCGGGGTGTATTCTGAAACTGTAAAACTCGGTGGCGTGCGAATCTTGTAGAGACTACATCGGCCTAGGGTAGAGCTATTATAAAGTAAACAGGGCCTAAATTAATTTAGTAGTTTCATTTAATTGTTTATCTTGCTTTTATTTGTCAGTACAGAATATTGTAAATTAAAATATTACTACAATGCAATACGCGTAGTATTTCATCAGACATCTGCACTACATTTTAAACACTGTACAAGGAAAACTATACAGCTTAAATAATAGTAGACGTTTCTTGTTTTGTGTCAGGAAACATCACAGCTCACTTCGACACGGCTTTTGAGCTTTGTAACCGGCCGAGGCGAAAGTAAATCATGCAGTCGGGAAAACGTCTTACTTTGAAAGATTATTTTGCAAAACATACTCGTACACACAAGAATCATAAAAATACAAATGTTGAATTGTTATTGTCAACTGTCAAGTTCAGTTATTTTTAGACAATATGGTGTTAGCCAATCAGAATGCAAAATTGACCGGCCCAGACCAGGGCTTCCTCGTGTCTCGCCTCGTCCTCACACTGAAGCCCTGGGAACGAGGTTGCGCGACAATTATATATTTGGATAACATTCGCTCCGTGAACTCGGATCTTCATCATTGCAAATAATATACGACTACATCTCTGTCCAAACGGCAGTTTTTACTCAAAGAATCACGATATGTTTTCTCGCTTCATTTTAAGATCAATTAATTAAAACGGCGTTGATAATTCATGAGGAAAAGAGAAAGGAAATCGCTAATTCCAAATTCCTTATCAGTGGTTTTATATGTGATAAAGAATCATGTTCATTTACAGAAGTTTACTTGAACTTAGCTTTGGCCTTGTGTTGTTGCTTGCATGTATTTCTAGACTAAATGGTAAATTTTACATTGTGCCTAATGACAGAACGTTTTACGTACAAAAGAAATAGCTAAAGTTATATTAATTGCATATGATTTGCCTAACACTGCCCGAAAGTCAGGAAGATTACATGACCTTACATATTTATTTCATATGTTTTTGTATTTGTTGTAGCTTTCCGTATTTTGTCCGCGAGCCAACGGTGCGGAGCGCCATCCTGGTGGCTATATGTTTCCTCGGGAAGTTTAAAATTTTGCTTTGAAGAAATGAGAAGAATTGATTTACTGTGATAAAATTTTGACTTTTTAAGAAATGAGAAGAATTGATTATTTGATTTACTGTGAGAAATCGTAAAATATTGGGCAAGTTTGCTTTGAATGTTTAATATTTTTTAATTTTGTTGCTCTTATTTTTGGCGTAAAAATGCACCACTGTTTCCTTTTCACAATATTAGCTGACTAGTTGTAATAACCTTAATTACCCTCTATAGTTTATGTCTCAATCAATTCCATGGGTGCCCCCCCCCCCGAGCGTTTGTCAGACATTGCCAACTGTACTTGTTCCCAGGGTCGGGCATTTGCTTTCTACAGGTTAGCCCCCGGGTGGGGAATTCGCTCGACGTTAAAAGGCGAATATTTGTCGCTTGTTTCGCCATTTAAACGTATTTTAGAACGCACGTTTACACGTGCAGGCGCGTTCACACTGACCTGAAAATGACGACTGAGTGCGACACAAAAATGAACACAAGTACACAACGGATCTTTATGAGTCTATAACGTATATTCATAGTTATTTATCATTAAAATGTCAAACTGTCAAACCTTTTCACTTGTGCTTTTATTCCACTATACTGTGTAAATTTGCTGGGTCCAAATTTTGGGGTTTGACGAGTCGTTACACAAAGAAAAACACCAACAATAATTCAACACTCAAGAAAGTCCAGAGTGGGACACATCGTAAAATCCAAAGGAAACCGGCACAATTGTTTGAAAATTCAACGAAACTGTGTGAAGAATATATTGATCACTCAGCGACAAGCCGCCATTTTGAAACTGTACTGAATATGTCACTGGAGTACTCTAACCTTGGAGTTTAGAATTGTACAAGTGTATGGGCTAATAAACGAAAAATGTACCAAAAGCATGGCCGGCATGATCTGGCTATTACGTAGATAAATACGAGCTAGTTACTATAATATTTAAATCTAGGATGCCATTTTGGGATATAGATTCATGTCTTCTCGTTTCTCCCAAACTTCCACGCGTGTTTCTATAACTCTATAGAAACACGGAAAATGTTTTCTATTTCTTAAATAAACAACATGTAGCTATGTAAGAAGACATGAAATAACTGTATCTACACCAACGAAAATTATTCGCTTTTTTTTTAGAAAATAAGACTATATTTTAGACTATATTATAAGACTATTATATAGGAGCCTATTATAAGAACCTGTCTTTCTGTATTATAATAGTCTTGTGATCTCAAAGCCTGAGGTGACTAATTGTTTTAGTATATATTCAGTATAGAAAAATAATAATACTTATATACACTCAATTCTTATAAATAAAATTCGGAACCTTGTCGCTTGATTTTGTTATTTTCCGGTTTAAATTGCCAAATAAGTTGTCTTAGGCATTCAAAAGGTGCTTTTGTCTTTCGGAAATAGGTTAACACAATATATTGTTGCTTCTTTCGCTTTTAGAGAAATAGTATGTGCCTTTACTTTCTTCAATTTTTCTTCGATGATTTGTTTGCATGTAGATAGTTCTCAGAGCAGCCTGAGCAGTAACCATCGCCTCAGAATTACTGCTGATGGAGCCACTCAAAAGGTCATTTTCAATACTGTATTCATGTTAAATCGATGTTTTGGAAAATATAGGCGAGGGGTTGCTGCATGCATGCATATATTTCTGATGTTATAAATATCTATTCTGCAATGTGATTTACCTCTTCTACCTGTTTCTGTTTTCCGCACTTGCACCTCAGTTAATCATAGATATCTTATATACACTAGATAGTGCATCTAATTATTATGCAATTCAAAAATTGAAGGCGTGATTGCAGACTCAGGATATTCCCATGAAATGAGAAGACTCGTAGGTTTTCTATTTCTTAAACAGGGAACTTAAACATTAAGTTAAATCCATTCCAAATACATTTTCAAACTATTCAAATGATGAAAGTTATTGTTGTTTTTAAGCGTTTATTAGCGAGTGGGAAACTCCAACATGGCCGCCATCTATTCAAATGGGGGTAACCGCTGGAATATTCTTGGCTTCAATCTTACTAAAACAGTATACTATACTAGTATTATATTACTAGTGTATATAAGATATCTATTCTCTTAATCCGCAGTTGCCTAACTTGTTTTATTGACATCATTTCAATACATCGTTCGTGAGATATTTCATCGTAGCAATATGCCATAAAGCAAAACACGTGATTGAAACCATCAGAAAGAAACTTACCAAGATCTGCAGCTTTCGAAAACAATACTCCAGAAACGAACATGAAAAATATCACAGAAAACATATAACCATGCATGATCATGTTGGCCATTGAAATTCGTCTGAGTGAGATTTAATTCAATCTTAAAAGCAGAATGATTGACCAAATTTAAACATTTAAATTACGATTTCAAGAATAAATCTTTATTGACCCATTTTATCCTAAGAAAAATATTATCTGCGAAATCAGATATCGGCTTTTTAGCGCTTTTATACCTGTACCTCGGTTTAGAATCTCGTTTTAAACATTGTTTTTCTTTCATAAAAAATGGTAAAAATTTTACTTGCTGCACATGGTATAATATGGGAAAACCATTACGGATCATTAAAGATGCTCTTGCAGAGCAGTGGCCATTCATTTCCCAGGATTTTGCTTTTCGCGAAGGTTACGGCAACCTTCGAACAATGACATGTTATATTAACCTTGCCTTTTGCTTATTCCGTGCCTTTTGCTTATACGTTCCGTGTTAAGACATGCATGGCGAAACCTAATTCAGCGATTGATTTCCTCTTTCTTCCTTTCTCGCGGCTTAATGTAGTTAATGGGATTCGTTGGCGCAGTCGTCAGAGCCAGGGCATTAATTTCATCTCTGAGATCGTGGGATTGATGCTCTCTCGGACTCATATGAAAAGAGTCTGTCAACGTCCTA